CCCCGGACACGGGAGGACCCTCACAGGGGTCTGCCAGAGAGACTGCAACCGGCCGGCCAAGCGGCGTGAGTATGGTGCGGTCTCGAAAGAAGGAGCGAGAAGCCCCTGAGTCAAGGGTGAAGGTGTGGGAGGCCGAAGCCGACGCAGTACCTCAGAGAGCAGACTCACGAGCACCTGAGGGAACAGACGCACGAGCACCTAGAGCAGCAGCCTCGCTAGCACCTAGAGCAGCAGCCTCACCAATACCTAGAGTAGCAGTCTCAATGCCCGGGTCGGGCGGGAAACACCGGTAACAGTCACCCTCATCACTAATAGTCACAGCATACATGGCAGCAAGAATAGCATCAAAGTCAAGATCAAAGACAGCTACTCCCGCCCTAGACAGCTCGCCCCTGCGGGGGATCTCAGCGGCCTCTGGGAACTGGTGACGCCAAGCGTCCGTCAGGCGCCCAAAGCAGCGCTGGGTGGAGTGCGCACCCCCGCATTGCTCACCCGCGCGGTCGCCGGTGCGTAGGACGTAGGTGCACGGACCAGTACCCCCACCCCGCTGGCGTGCAGCGTACCACTCACGGAGCTGCTGAAGGGGGGGGATGTCACGAATGCGCTGCTGCTGCTGCTGCTGCTGGCGCTTACCACCACCGGAGCTGACCCTCTGCGCAGCGCCACCCCGACCAGCTCCACCGCCTCCGCCACCGCCTCCTCCACTGCCGCCACCTCCGCCACCTCCGCTCCCACCGCCACCACCGCCGCCGCCTCCGCCTCCACTGCCGCCACCGACACCTCCACCCCCGCCACCACCCCCACCGCCACTCCCACCCCCTCCGCCGCTCCCACCCCCTCCGCCGCCTCCACCGCTGCCTCCACCGCCCCCGCTAGCTCCTCCAGCGCCCCTGCCCCCTTTGCCCTTGCCAGGGCGGCGTCTCCCGCTAGGGGTAGACGCCGCACCGACCGACTCAAGACCAACGAGGTCGGCCGCAGCAGCAGAGGCAACAGAGGGCAAAAGGGGGGAGGGGGAACACCCCTCAAAGATGGGGGTGCGAGGGTCACCACGAGAGGCTCCTACAGCTACTATGCTCTTCTCTACTGCTAGGAGGGCCTTCTCGAAGAGATCAACGGTGAGATTGGTGGGGCAAACTGAGAGGAAGTGGTCCCTGACTACGCGAAGGGAGTCAGGGAGCCGGGTGACTATGTAGTAGAGAGTGATGTACATGGGGGGGGGGGGGTTCTTGGCGCAGAACTCAGCAGGAAGCGCAGCGCGGTAGCGAGTGTCACTAGTGCGGAGGTGCGTAATGAGGTCAGTGACTGTGGGAAAGGCAGCTAGGTCAGGGAAGAGGTACGGTAGCATGAGGCGGCTCAGTGCAGCAGTGGCAGGGGAGGAGTAGCGTGCAACTACAGCGGCGTACAAGGTCTGAGCACTCTTGTACTGGCTAAAGTGCGCACGCTCAGAGGTAGGCAGGTGGCGACGCACAGCAAGACGTGCAGCAGCATCGCGTGTGGCCCACTATGAGCGAACAGTGGCGTCTGCATCAGCAGCAGGGGCGGGAGAGGCACCAGAGGTGAGGTCAAAGAGGGAGAGACCGTTTGCACTATCGCACTGTAAGAAAAGCTGCAGGTCATCTACTTAGACGTCAAAGTCAATGGCCCGACCCTCAGCGTCAAAGGCGAGGACACTAGGGGTAGCCATGACAGCAGTAGACTAGCAGCGCGAACAGTAGGGTAAGGGTAGTGCAATGATAGAGGCGCTGCTCTTACCAGACAGGGCGGCTCGGGCGGCTCGGCGGCTCGGCAGTACGGCGGCTCGGCAGCAACTGCGGCTCGGCGACTCGGCGGCTCGGGCGGCTCGGGCGACTCGGCGGCTCGGGCGGCTCGGGCGGCTCGGCGACTCGGCGGTTCGGGCGGCTTGGCGGTCGGCTGCTTGGCTGCTCGGCGGCTCGGCGGTTCGGCTGCTGGGCGGCTCAGCGGCTCGGCTGCTGGGCGGCTCGGTGGCTCGGTTGCTCTGCTGCTGGGCGGCTCGGCAGCTGGTGTGGCTGGTGACGACCGCGGCAGCAGTCGGAGGAGCTGTGGTGACTGCTGCTGCAGAGACGGCGGCGGCTGCTGCCTCAAGGACGGCGGCGGCCGGCCGCTACGGGCCGCGAAGGGCGGCGGAGAGGCCGTGAAGGGCGCCACGAGGGGCCGCCGAGGGCGGCGACGGGCCGTGAGGAGGCTGCGGAAGGCGGCTTGAGGGGCCGCGAGGGGGGCCGTAAGGGGCCGACGGGCGGCGGGAGGGGCCGTAGGGGCTGCGGGAGGGCCCGTAAGGGTAGCGTGAGGGGCCGTAAGGGGCCGTAAGGGGCGGCTCGCTGGGCCGTAAGGGCGGCGTTAGGAGCCGTAAGGGCGGCACGAGAGGCCGTAAGGGCGGCGCGACGGGCGCGACGGGCCGTAAGGGCGGCGCTAGGGAGCCGTGAGAGGGCCGCTAAGGGCGACGCGACGGGGCCGTGAGGGGCCTAGCGAGGGCGCGACGGTAGGGAGTATCAAATTATAATGTTGTGTAGGCTGTAGTGGGGTAGCCTATATGGGGTACACAATGCTAGGGTTGCATACTTGTATCACTTTCATTCCTTAGTCATCCATTCTCGTTTCTTCTCATGGTATCGAGCAGGTTCCCTCGTGGGAACTGTTCCTAGGGCCCACCAAGTCGAATTTTTTTTCCCTGCCCGGAGCGCACTTCGCTTAGGCCCGAGTCGCGCCTCGTGTGCCCTCTCTACCGTCGCGCCCGTCCTAGGCCTCCTTCGGCCCCGTCGCGTCGCCCCTAGCGGCCTCCCTCGCGCCGCCCTTACTCGGCCCGTCGCCGCCCTTCGCGGCCTGACGCCGCCCTACGCGGCCCGTCGCCACCCTCAGCGGCCCGTCGCCGCCCTCGTGCCGCCCTCACCCGAGGCCCTGCCACCTACGTGCGGGCGCGCCACCCTACCAGCGGCCCCGCCGCCCTTACCTGCGGCCCCGCCGCCCTTACCTGCGGCCCCGCCGCCCTTACCTGCGGCCCCGCCGCCCTTCGCTGCGGCCCCGCCACCTTGCTGCGGCCCAGCCGCCCTTCGCTGCGGCCCCGCCACCTTACCTGCGGCCCCGCCGCCCTTACCTGCGGCCCCGCCGCCCTTACCTGCGGCCCCGTCGCCTGCTGCTGCGGCCCCGCCACCTTACCTGCGGCCCCGCCACCTTACCTGTGGCCCCGCCGCCCTTCGCTGCGGCCCCGCCACCTTACTTGCGGCCCCGCCGCCCTTACCTGCGGCCCCGCCACCTTACCTGCGGCCCCGCCACCTTACCTGCGGCCCCGCCGCCCTTCGCTGCGGCCCCGCCACCTTACCTGCGGCCCCGCCGCCCTTACCTGCGGCCCCGTCGCCTGCTGCAGCGCCGCCCGCCACCCGAGCTGCCCCAGCCGCCATACCCAGCCGAGCAGTCAACCGCCGCGCCGCCCTGCAGCCGAACCGCCGAGCAGCCTAGCCGCCCAGCAGCCAAGCTGCAGAGCCACCCTGCAGCCGAGCCGCCCAGCAGCCGAGCCGCCCAGCAGCCGAGCCGCCCAGCAGCCGAGCCGCCCAACAGCTAAACCGCCCGCACCGCCGAGCCGCTCGAGCCGCCCTCTCCGGTAAGAGCAGCGCCTCTTTCTCCGCACTGCCCTTACCCTACTGTTTGCGCTGCTAGTCTACTTTTGTCATGGCTACCCCTAGTGTCCTCGCTTTTGACGCTGAGGGTAGGGCCATTGACTTTGATGTCTGGATAGATGACCTGCAGCTTTTCTTACAGTGCGATAGGGCAGACGGACTCTCTCTCTTTGACCTCACCTCTGGTGCCTCTCCTGCCCCTGCTGCTGATGCTGACGCCACTGTTCGCTCACAGTGGGCCACGCGCGATGCTCCTGCACGTCTTGCTGTGCGTCGCCACCTTCCTACCTCTGAGCATGCGCACTTTAGCCAGTACACGAGTGCTCAGACCTTGTACGACGCTGTAGTTGCACGCTACTCCTCCCCTGCCACTGCTGCACTGAGCCGCCTCATGCTACCGTACCTCTTCCCTGACCTTGCTGCCTTTCCCACAGTCGCTGACCTCATTACGCACCTCCGCACTAGTGACACTCGCTACCGCGCTGCGCTTCCTGCTGAGTTCTGCGCCAAGAACCCCCCCCCCCCATGTACATCACTCTCTACTACATAGTCACCCGCCTCCCTGACTCCCTTTGCGTAGTCAGGGACCACTTTCTCTCAGTCTGTCCCACCACTCTCACTGTTGACCTCCTCGAGAAGGCCCTCCTAGCAGCGGAGAAGAGCATAGTCGCTGTAGGGGCCTCTCGTGGTGACCCGCGCACTCCCATCTTTGAGGGGTGTTCCCCCTCCCCTCTTTTGCCCTCTGTTGCCTCTACTGCTGCGGCCGACCTCGTTGGTTTGGAGTCGGTCGGTGCGGCGTCTACCCCTAGTGGGAAGCGTCGCTCTGGCAAGGGCAAGGGGGGCAGGGGCACTAGAGGAGCTAGCGGGGGCGGTGGAGGTGGAGGTGGAGGCGGCGGGGGGAGTGGGGGTGACGGTGGGGGTGGTGGTGGGGGAGGAGGTGTCAGTGGTGGCAGTGGAGGCGGAGGCGGCGGTGGCGGTGGGAGCGGAGGTGGCGGAGGTGGCGGAGGTGGCGGAAGTGGAGGAGGTGGAGCTGGTCGGGGTGGCGCTCCGCAGAGGGTCGGCTTCGGCAGTGGTCAGCGCCAGCAGCAGCAGCAGCGCGCTCATGACACCCCCTCCCCTCAGAAGCTCCGTGAGTGGTACACTGCTCGCCAGCGGGGTGAAGGTGCTGATCCGTGCACCTACGTCCTGCGCACCGGCGACCGTGCGGGTGAGCAGTGTGGGGGTGCGCACTCCACCCAGCGCTGCTTTGGCCGCCTGACGGACGCTTGGTGTCACCAGTTTCCGGAGGCCACGGAGATCCCTCACTGGGGTGAGCTGTCTAGGGCAGGGGTAGCTATCTTTGATCTTGACTTTGATGCTATTCTTGCTGCCATGTATGCTGTGTCTATTAGTGATGAGGGTGACTGCTACCGGTGTTTCCCGCCCGACCCGGGCATTGAGACTGCTGCTCTAGGTACTGGTGAGGCTGCCGCTCTAGGTGCTTGCGAGGCTGCTGCTCTAGGTGCTAGTGCGTCTGCTCCCTCAGGTGCTGGTGAGTCCGCGCTCTCAGGTACCGAGTCGGCTTCGGCCTTCCTCACCTTCACCCTCGACTCAGGGGCGTCACGCTCCTTCTTTCGAGACCGTACCACACTCACGCCGCTTGGTCGGCCTGTTGCGGTCTCTCTGGCAGATCCCTCTGGGGGTCCTATCCTTGCTCACTTTTCCACTGTCCTCCCGTGTCCGACGGCTCCCTCTGGCACCCTGTCTGGTCTTTACTTCCCCTCATTCTCTACAAACTTTGTGAGTGGCGCTGACCTTCAGGATGGGGGAGTTCACCAGTTCACTCCTGCGAGCCAGCGGGTAACCCACTGCACGGACGCTCGGACGGGCCGACACTTGGCCAGGTTTACTCGTCGGCCGGGGTCGAGCCTGTACACACTGACCACTGCGTCTCCTCCAATCACTGCGTCTAGTCAGGTAGCTGCGTCGGGTCAGGTGTTAGCTGCAGCGTCCAGGTCTGGTCCTAAGTCTCCCCCCTGCTCGTGTCGCCGCCTGTCCCACGAGACTCTTCTCTGGCACCACCGCCTTTGTCACCCCTCCCTGCTTCGTCTCCGAGGCATGGCCTCTCGTGTCCTTGTCTCTGGTCTTCCCCGGTCCCTCCCTCCCCTTCCTCCGGGGCCTGGCCCTATCTGCGTCCCCTGCGTCAGCGGGCTGCCCCTCACTCCTCCCAGTTTCCTCTGACAGAGGCCCCGCTGCAGACGCTTCACATGGACCTGTGGGGCCCGGCCCGCGTCCGTGGTCAGGGTCACGAGCGCTACTTCCTGCTGGTGGTTGACGACTACTCGCGTTACACCACAGTCTTCCCCTTGAGCAGCAAGGGTGATGTCACTGAGGTGTTGATTCACTGGATCCGCGCAGCTCGTCTCCGGCTCAGGCAGAGCTTCGGCTCGGACTTTCCTGTTCTGCGTCTGCACTCTGACAGAGGGTGAGAGTTCTCCTCTGGCCTTCTGCGAGCCTTCTGTCGTGCACGAGGCATCCGCCAGACCTTCACGCTTCCGGACTCTCCACAGCAAAATGGGATTGCTGAGCGCCGCATTGGCATGGTCATGGACCTCGCCCGTACGTCCATGATGCATGCGGCTGCCCCCCATTTTCTGTGGCCGTTTGCGGTTCGGTACGCGGCGCATCAGATCAACCTTCAGCCCAGGGTCTCCAGGCCGGAGACCTCCCCAGCCTTGGTGTGGACGGGGAAGGTTGGCGATGCGTCTGCTTTCCGTGTCTGGGGATCTCGGGCGTTTGTCCGCGACTTGTCTGCGACAAGTTGTCCCCTCGTGCTGCTCCTTGCGTCTTCCTAGGTTTCCCCCTGACGCGCCAGGGTGGCAGTTCTACCACCCCACCTCTCGCCGTGTTCTGTCCTCCCAGGACGTCACGTTTGACGAGTCGGTCCCCTACTACCGAATCCACCCCTACCGCACTCCGTCCCTCCCCCCGCCGCCGCTCTTCCTCGTCCCAGGTCCCCCTCCGGTAGACCCCCTTCCCCCTCAGGGTCCGTCCCCTTCAGGTGTGTCCTAGGTAGACGCAGTCGAGCCTGTCGAGGTCACTGGTGACTCTGGTGCTGCTGAGGGTGCTGAGCCTGGGGGTGCTGACTCTGTGGGTGCTGAGCATGGGGGTGCTGAGTCTGGGGGTGCTGAGCCTGGGGGTGCTGGGTCTGGGGGTGCTGAGCCTGGGGGTGCTACGCCTGGGGGTGCTGAGCCTGGGGGTGCTACGCCTGGAGGTGCTGAGCCTGGGGGTGCGGAGCCACGGGGTGCTGAGCCTGGAGGTGCTGAGCCTGGGGGTGCGGAGCCTGGGGGTGCGGAGCCTGGGGGTGTTGAGCCTGGAGGTGCTGCGCCTGGGGGTGCGGAGCCTGTGGGAGCTGCTCCTGCTGGTGCTGTGTCTGGCGGTCCTCCAGGTGCTTCGTCTCGCCGGGAGCCACTCTCTCCACAGGAGCTGCGTGAGTGGTTTGCCCGGCGCTGGAGGCGGGCTGCTGGAGCTGGAGGTTCTTCGCCTGCTGAGGGTACTGGTGCCGAAGATCCCGGAGGTGCTCGTACTGGGAGTACTGGAGCTGCTGGGCCAGCGGGTACTTCTGGAGCTGGAGTTGCTGAGGGCGTTGTCGCTGAGGCTAGTGCTGTCGGTGCTGGAGGTGCTGCTGGTGCTGCTGGAGGTACTGGAGCTGGAGGTGCTGCTGGCGCTGGTGTTGCCGCTGGGAGTACTGGTTCAGTCCCTGCTGTGACTGGAGTCGTCGCGCGGCCTCGGCCGTACTTCGTTCCGCTCCTTCAGCACGTTCTTGGTCTCCTGCCTTCTACTGCTCCTCCTCCTCTCTTAGAGTGTCCACTGCCTGACCCGTCACAGCTACAGTTATAGGCGGCCTCCCCACTGCGTGCTCCGTGTCCCTACACGGGTCCTACTGGAGGTCCTGCTGAGCGTCGTATGCCTGCGTCTCGCCCTGCGTCGCCTGTCCGTGCTGCTTGCACTAGTGGTCGCGGTTCGCGTCAGCGTCCTCCTCGTGTCCCTGGCACGCACCGGATGTCTCTGCATCCGTCCACTACTCCACTGCGTGCCCCTTTACCTTCTCCTCCTGAGTCCTCTCTTCCTGCTCTTGCAGCAGCATGCAGTACTCGAACTTCTGTTTTCCGAGCTTCTTGGTCAAGTAGTCAGCTGCCATCTCAGACGTGGGACAGTAGGATAGTTTGAGTTTCCCTTTCTCGATCTCGTCTTTCACGAAGAAATATCGCAGGGCGATATGCTTCGTTCTGCTCGCGAATCCGCTCTTGTTGGCGATGCGAATCGCAGATTGGTTGTCGCATAACAGAGTGAAGTTGGGTAACTCGCTTCTTCCAGCAGCTCGCGAAGATAGAGTCCTTCCTTGGTGGCTGAGCAGTGTGCGATATATTCTGCTTCAGCTGAGGAGAGAGCGATTAGTTCCTGCTTGCTCGATTGCCAGGAGATAGGTCCGATAGGTTCGAGGCGGTAGATGTAGCCAGTGCGGGAGCGTCTGTTGTCTGAATCGCCGGCGTGATCGGCATCGACGTAGCCGATTAGTTTCGTCGGTGTAGTTTTATTCTTCTAGTATGTCAGGCCGATCGTCGAGGTGCTCACGAAGTAGTGGAGAGCGCGGTCGAGTTCCGCCAGGTGTTCTGTTTCAGGCCTTTTGAGGTAGGTAGCAAGTTGACTTGCGGAGTAGGACAGATCTGGGCGGCAGGTGACGGCTGCGAAGAGAAGGCAGCCCAGCTTCCTCTGGTAGTCGCGTATTCCGGCGGTTTTGAGTAGAGCGGGACCTCCTTTGTCGTTCCCTGCCGTGTAGCGGTATGGCGTGGAGATAGTGGTAGGTGTGAGCGAGAAGCGTTTGGCGATAGTGTCGGCATACTTTTCGGCGCTGAGATAGATCGCGTTCTCTTCTTCGCGGATGTTGAGTCCGAGGTACTGAGTGACGGTAGAGGAGACCGTGAGTGTAAGATCCCTCTGCAGCTCCCCTTCGAACCAGGTGTTGACGTCGTCGGTGGAGCCAATGTAGAGTAGGTCGTCGACGTAGACGATCAACGGGATATAGTCGGCGTTTTTGGTGAGTCGATACATTCCTTGGTCGTGAGGTAGTTGGCGGAATCCGATGCGAGTGAGGCGAGTGTGTAGGTGCTGTTGCCACAGCCGCGGGGCTTGTTTGATACCGTAGAGCGATTTCAGTAGCTGGCAAACTTGGTTAGGTTCCCCGTGGGTACCGTGTGGGAGCTCGACGAAGATTTCGGCGTCGACGGGTGCGTAGAGGAACGCGTTGGCGACATCGATTTGTCGCAGTTTCTTCTTCTTCATAGCGGCGATCGCGAGAAGAATTCGGAGTGAGGTATGTCGGCTGACCGGGGCGAATGTCTCGGTGAAGTCCCGTCCGTGCTCCTGGTCGAATCCACGCACGACCCAGCACGCTTTGAATTTCTCGATTGTACCGTCTGCCTTTGTTTTAATGCGGAAAACCCATTTCCCGGTGAGGATGGTCTTGTTCCTTGCCACGCTTACGGGAACGACTTTCCAGGTGTTGCGTTCCTCCAGCGCTTTTAACTCTCTGTCCATGGCTTCACGCCATTTCTCCCTGTGTTCCCCCCACAGAGCCTGCTGAACTGTCGCAGGCTCTTTAGGAAGAGCATTGCCGTGGACTGCGGTGACGAGGCCGAGAATCTGTAGTCCAGTCTGTGAGTAGCGGGGGAGAGTTGTGTCCTCGGGATAAGCTGCTTCATCTCCCGCTTCTGGGTCGGGTATGAAACCGCCTGGCTTCCAGTGACGAAGTTTCGTCCCCGCTGTTGGGCTGAACGCCCTAGGATCTTTAGTAGAGTTAAAGTCTGAGTAAATGATGTAGTAGCGGAAGCGTTTGAATAAAGTCCTTGAACCACCTTGCGCTAGTATGTGAGGGCAAAGTAAGTTAATTAAAGCAAAGAGATACAGGAATATATATATGAGTACAGAGAATATGAAGAGGCATAATTGTAACTGTTTTACTGTTGCGGTTCGATACAGTGCGACTCGGGCAACTGCTCAATGTCGAGTCAGATGTGTGTCCTTGCTGTCGCGCTGCGTCAGGTCAAAGGTCGCTGACCTTTGACTTTCTCGTAATCTCCAGCGGTTACGTTAACCTCCGAGGGTTGACTCGCGGTGCTTCGATTTGAGCTGCTTCGCTTGTGTCTTGAGTTTTGACACGACAGAGGCGCTTAAGACTATTTGTTCCCAACACCCGCTTCCATATGCCGTCGAAACGTTTGCATTGGTGGACAAAGGTGGGCGTTCGCCAGACGCCCAGTTTGTTTGTTGGTTTAGACTGTAGGTGAGGCTCGGCACTTTTTTCACGGGCTGGCCCGGCTGACGAAGGTAAACGAACTCTAACTGACGGGATCAGGAAGGCGAGAGGAACATTCCTGATCCCGTCGTTATCCCGTTGTTTTTGCAATAATGGTGCTGGCGAACAGCCCCCTTGATAAGCATAAGATTACTTATAAACAAAGATTCTGCGGGCCCTGCCCCTGGAAAATTAAGGACCAGACATCACCTCCATTTTATCACCTCCTAAATCCCCGCTAGTGCAATACCCGCTGTTTTGGTTTGGCTTGCACATGTAAATAGTGCAAATGAAATGCGAAAATTGTCAGCCTTTTCAATTCATGCCTTTCCGATCTCTACAATCAAGCACCTCCCGTTCGGTCCCGTGAGGTCAACTACGCGTAGTGTTGCTTCGGATTGGGTGAGCTTGGTGGTTCCGACGCCCTGGCTGCGAGGTTTCGCGAAGCCAAACGACATCTGTTTACTCCTCAGACATCGGCGAATTCCTCTTCCGCCCAAACAGAAGCCACAAGCCCGAACCTTGCCAGAAAGGTCTGTCGTGCGTGCGAAACCTTCACTTCACCCGCCACGAAGCTCTCAAATTTACGTGCTGGCAGAAACATGCGTGCGCACCACAGCGCAGCGCCACGAAGTGTCTCCTTGTTGCATTTGCCAGCGACCTTAGTTGTGTTTGAAAGGGCGCTGCTAGTTGCTCCTCCCAACATTCAATCATCGAACCTGAGCGTTGCTTGTTCAACTCGAACGAGTCATCCATCCATAGTTCCTGCTACTGCTATTCATTTAAAGTAGGTGTGCGAACAGCTGTAGACCACGGCGACGGTCATTGTTATTGCGAAGGAGGAGACGCTCATATAAATCGCGCACTATTGCGAAAAGTGTACTTGCCGTCACCTCAACCCGCTAACGCTTGAATCAACCGTACAGGAGAGGTTGCACGTCGGATCGCTATCATGTTCCCCGTGCATCCCGCGAGAAATCTCTTCTCTAAGTACGACATACACGAAAAACTCGGATCCGGCAGGTTCGGCACCGTCAGGCGATGCACGCACCGCGCGACGGACATTGAGTTCGCCTGCAAACGCGTAGCACCTCTTAAAGAAGACCTCCGATGCGCCGCTAACGAGATCAATGCCCTGACTCTGCTTCATGACTGCAGCCACGTGACGCCTCTTCGTGACGTTTTCCGTGACTCCGAGGGAGCTCTTTACCTGCAGTCGGATTTAGCCACTGGCGGGGATCTCGTGTCCTGGATTCTGAAAAACGGACCGCTTTCCGAGTGCGACGCGCGGGAAGTTTTCAGAGACATTGCGGCGGGAGTTCAAGAGTGCCACGAGCGAGGTATCCTGCACCGAGATGTTAAACCCGATAACGTGCTGCTCTTCCCGTGCAGCCCCAGGGGCTCGCGCCATGACTCCGAATCGGAGTCGGAGCCGTCATGGTCATTCGAGAACTCGAGTGGAATTGTCCAGAACAGCTCAAACAACCTAAACCCAAACATAGGCACTACACTGGGATGCACGGCAGCAAGGTCCATCAGAACTGCTGGTATCGTTACTAACTTTAGCCGTCTCCGCCCTGTCAACGCCTCAGAGTCCTCGTCGCTGTCGTCAACGGCACCATCGTCACCCTCATCCCCGTCATCGTCTTCCCCGTCGTCCGCGTCGCAATCCTCTTGTTCTTCGTTCACGCCTCCGTTGACGACCGATGAGCGCGGCGCCGGAACCCCTGCCGCGAACTGCGGCGCGCCGATGCGAGCGGGCGAGCACTTCCTTCCAGTGGAAACACGCAGTTTCAGTTCGACGGTTTGTCGAACAACGGTGTCAGTCGCCGAGACAGAAAGAGCCTCGGGGTTGAACGAGGCTCCGCGTTGCGCGTTTGTCGCGAAGCTCGCTGATTTTGGAGGCTCCACCGTGCTCAAGCCAGGGCAAACCGCCACGGGATACGTCGGCAGCATGCCGTACATGGCCCCCGAGGTTACCGGCCGAAAACCGTACGGATTCCCCGCGGACGTTTGGAGCATGGGTGTCACACTCTATGTAATCCTTTCCGGACGATGGCCCACTATTTCCCGTAGTCGGCAGTCGTCTCGCGACTGGGAATTGCCGTGCTGGGGACTTGTGTCAGGGCGAGCGAAGAGTCTCATTCGGAGGATGTTGTCGGGCGACCCTCAGACTCGGCCGTCTGTTGCTCGGATTCTGCAAGATGCGTGGCTCTGCGGGACCTCTGCATTTCAATTGACGCGACAGACGGCGTGTATTACGGGAATGGGGTCTCAATTGCCGCATGTCCCTTCAACAACTCTAGGAAAAATACCGCACCCGCCGCGGACTGCGCCCAGACCATCCCGTTACAACTTTGGCTCACACCTTCTTCCCTGTTTGCAGGGTGCGTGAGAGCTTTTGATATACCGTA